GAGCATTGGGGGGAAATGGTCAGGGTGAGGGGAGGGAAGGGAGGGAGCGAGGAGGGGGTAGAGAGTTGAGAGGGGAGCTGAAGGCACGGTCAAAGAGAAAGGTCTTGAGACCGGCATTGAAGGAGGAAAGGGAGGAGGCAAGGTGAAGGCACTGGGGGATGGAGTTCCAGAGCCTCGGGGCTGAGAGGCTGAAGGCCCGTCCACCAATGGTAGGGCAGTTAGGGCGGGGGATGTGGAGCAGACTGGAGCCAGAGGAACGGAGGGTACGGGCAGGTAAGTAGGGGGATAGTAGATCGGAGAGGTAAGCCCTCCATGGCCTCACCCCACCCTACCTCTGCGACCTTCTAACACCCTACCAACCCGCCTGCTCCCTCCGCTCAGCCGGCTCCGGCCTGCTCCACGTCCCCCGACCCACCTGCCCCACCATTGGTGGGAGAGCCTTCAGCCACTGCCCTCAACCTCTGGAATTCCATCCCCCAGTCACTCCGCCTCGCCCCCTCCTTAGCCTCCTTCAAGTCCCGCCTCAAGACCCTCCTCTTCGACCATGGCATCGGCCACCCCCCTTCCCCTCCCTTCCCAACCCAGGTCTGAAATGCTGTACTCTGTCCAGCGCTTTGGGACGTCCTCCCGATGTGAAAGGCGCTATACAAATGTAATCTTGTTGTTGTAATTCCTGCAACATGATATTGTACCGATAACATCAAAATGTCTCTAAGCGCTTCATAGGCAATGCTTGGACCATTATAATAATAATCCTTGCATTTGACATAGCGCTTTATCACGTCTCTGAAAAGTTTCAAAGCGCTTCACAGAATATACTGTAAAATGACTGTATATTTTGTGGGTGAAACTGAATGTGACGCATTTGGAAATATTCATTGTAAGATATAAGGGAAATCCATCCCAATGGATGGGAAGGAGTGAAGCACACTGCCTGTCTGAGTTGCTTTCTCCACCTCAAGTATCAGAATTCCTGTTGCAGATCCTTAATGTCTTGTTAAACACAAATTTGTCCTCCAAATCCTTATTCAGCTTTAATAATGATCCATGCATTTGATATAGCACCTTATTATTTATCATTAAACACACAGGCAAACATAGATACAGACTGAGTTGGGCTGACACACATACCAGGCAGGGCGAAACATTGGGCAAGTTTCCTTACTCCACATGCCTATTAATAATCCCTCCAAAAAACAAAATAATAAATCGGTCTTTTTCAATCCACGACTGTTTGTGGGACACTGCTGTGCGCAATTGACTGCCACGTTTTGCCCACAAATATACAGTTAATTCATTTTATAGCATATTCTGTGAAGTGCTTTGAGACGTCTAGAAGACGTGAAAAGTGCTTTATCAAATGCAAGGATTATTATTATTATCACATCTTTGATACGTCTTAAAGCGTTTCACTGAAATATACTGTAAAGTCAATTGGCTGTAGTTTGTGGGCAAAACACAGCAGCCAATTTGCGCAAACAATGTCCCACAAACAGTCGTGGATTGAGTGACCAAATAATTATAATTCTGTTTTAATTTTTGAAGGGAATATTACCCCCGAAAAGTGATCCAATGGCCTGAGATCATAAGCCGCAGAGAGAGAGGGAGAGGTGCTGATATTAACCACACTGCCAGATTGTGATCTGGACATTCCTGGCAACCGTGCGTTTAATGCTGGTAACAATTTGTAACAGATTTCCCTCATTTTGCAACATTGCACGTCTCTGTACTGCTTCTACCCCAGGCTTCATCACGTTGGGGCTTGACGAAACCAGCGTGCCGGCCAAACTCCCTCCATCCTCCCTACACAAGCTGCAGAACATCAAGAACTCCACAACCCACGTCCTCTCCCGCATCAGGTTCCGCAAGATGCTGAGGACCTGAAGTATGCATTAGGGGCAATATTGGAGTTAGATTTAGGTATCTAAATCCACAAAGCTTCCCATTACAAGCACCATCTGGACAGCTGCCCTCTCCACATACCAACACCTCGTTGGGTTTGGGTGACAGAGCTCCACAATGAGGAGCAGGTACACCCCCACTTTACAGGCAGCCAATCACTAAACATTTTGTTCTTCCAGTGAAACATCCAATAAGAGGGGAGGTTGTTGATGTCAAGCAGTGAGAGGAGAGAGTGTGGTCACCCTGAAAACAAAGAGAGCCGGAGGGGCAGCCGGGGGGGAGCACCGGGGGGGACACACACAGACTGGGGCCAGACTGAGGGAGGGAGGGGGGAGCTAGAGACTGAGGGAGGGGAGTGAGGGGGGAGCTAGAGACTGAGGGGAGTGAGGGGGGAGCTGGAGACTGAGGGAGGGGAGTGAGTGAGGGGGGAGCTGGAGACTGAGGGGAGTGAGTGAGGGGGGAGCTAGAGACTGAGGGAGTGAGTGAGGGGGGAGCTAGAGACTGAGGGAGGGGAGTGAGTGAGGGGGGAGCTGGAGACTGAGGGAGGGGAGTGAGGGAGGGGGGAGCTGGAGACTGAGGGAGTGAGTGAGGGGAGAGCTGGAGACTGAGGGGAGTGAGTGAGGGGGGAGCTGGAGACTGAGGGAGAGAGTGAGTGAGGGGGGAGCTAGAGACTGAGGGAGGGGAGTGAGTGAGGGGGGAGCTGGAGACTGAGGGAGGGGAGTGAGGGAGGGGGGAGCTGGAGACTGAGGGAGGGGAGTGAGTGAGGGGGGAGCTAGAGACTGAGGGAGGGGAGTGAGTGAGGGGGGAGCTGGAGACTGAGGGAGGGGAGTGAGTGAGGGGGGAGCTGGAGACTGAGGGAGGGGATTGAGTGAGGGGGGAGCTGGAGACTGAGGGAGGGGAGTGAGTGAGGGGGGAGCTGGAGACTGAGGGAGAGAGTGAGTGAGGGGGGAGCTGGAGACTGAGGGAGGGGAGTGAGTGAGGGGGAGCTGGAGACTGAGGGAGAGAGTGAGTGAGGGGGAGCTAGAGACTGAGGGAGGGAGTGAGTGAGGGGGGAGCTGGAGACTGAGGGAGAGAGTGAGTGAGGGGGGAGCTGGAGACTGAGGGAGTGAGTGAGGGGGGAGCTGGAGACTGAGGGAGGGGAGTGAGGGAGGGGGGAGCTGGAGACTGAGGGAGAGAAAGAGTGAGTGAGGGGGAGAGAGAGACTGGGGGAGAGAGTGAGGGGGGAGCTGGAGACTGAGGGAGTGAGTGAGGGGGGAGCTGGAGACTGAGGGAGGGGAGTGAGTGAGGGGGGAGCTGGAGACTGAGGGAGAGAGTGAGTGAGGGGGGAGCTAGAGACTGAGGGAGTGAGTGAGGGGGGAGCTAGAGACTGAGGGAGGGGAGTGAGTGAGGGGAGAGCTGGAGACTGAGGGAGGGGAGTGAGTGAGGGGGAGCTGGAGACTGAGGGAGAGAGTGAGTGAGGGGGAGCTAGAGACTGAGGGAGTGAGTGAGGGGGGAGCTAGAGACTGAGGGAGGGGAGTGAGTGAGGGGAGAGCTGGAGACTGAGTGAGGGGAGTGAGTGAGGGGGAGCTGGAGACTGAGGGAGAGAGTGAGTGAGGGGGAGCTAGAGACTGAGGGAGTGAGTGAGGGGGGAGCTAGAGACTGAGGGAGGGGAGTGAGTGAGGGGAGAGCTGGAGACTGAGTGAGGGGAGTGAGTGAGGGGGGAGATAGAGACTGAGGGAGAGAGTGAGTGAGTGAGGGGGAGAGAGAGACTGGGGGAGAGAGTGAGTGAGGGGGAGTGAGAGAGAGAGAGAGAGACTGGCAGATGAGGAGAGTGTGGAGTCGCTCTGAAAACGGTCAGAGAGTCCGCGAAACGGAAAGACACACCCAGTGAGGAGAGAGAATCAGAGACATGGAGGGGGAGAGCGAGGGACGCCGGAGAGGATGAGGGCGACTCAGAGATAGAGGAAAACGGAGAGCGGGGACCGAGGGCAGAGAGAGAGAGAGAGAGAGGCCGAGGACTGGCACTGAGAGAGCGGGGTGGGCCTGTGTTAGGGGGGTGACTGGGAAGCCCGGGCTGGTGTTCACCAGCTGCTCGGAGCGGGAGCTGAGGAGATGAGAGGCGGGTGTGATGGGGGTGCGGTCGGGCCCGCGGTTGGCCCCAGGCGGCGGCGCTGAGCCCAGAGCGCGAGGTGAGCGAGACCCGAACACACGGGAGATTCAAATAACAACTGACCAACGGTCACTCCAACCACTGGCCACACACACACACACACACACACACACAGCAGCCGGTCACAGTCACCACTGGCCACACACACTCACTCACTCACACACACACACAGAGACAGTAACCCATACACACACACTCACTCACACACACAGAGACAGTAACCCATACACACACACACAGACAGAGACAGTAACCCATACACACACACACACACACACACAGACAGTAACCCTGGCCATACAGAGACAGTGACCCTGGCCACACACAGACACACACAGAGACAGTAACCCTGTCCACACACAGACACACACAGAGACAGTAACCCTGTCCACACACAGACACACACAGAGACAGTAACCCTGGCCATACACACACAGAGACAGTAACCCTGGCCATACACACACAGAGACAGTAACCCTGGCCATACACACACAGAGACAGTAACCCTGGCCATACACACACACACAGAGACAGTAACCCTGGCCATACACACACACACAGAGACAGTAACCCTGGCCATACACACACACACAGAGACAGTAACCCTGGCCATACACACACACACAGAGACAGTAACCCTGGCCACACACAGACACACACAGAGACAGTAACCCTGGCCATACACACACAGAGACAGTAACCCTGGCCATACAGACACACACAGAGACAGTAACCCTGGCCATACACACACAGAGACAGTAACCCTGGCCATACAGACACACACAGAGACAGTAACCCTGGCCATACAGACACACACAGAGACAGTAACCCTGGCCATACACACACAGAGACAGTAACCCTGGCCATACACACACAGAGACAGTAACCCTGGCCACACAGACACACACACAGACAGTAACCCTGGCCACACAGACACAGTTAATATCCCTGATTATAGACACACACAGGTAGTAAACCACCAGAGAGAGAAACAAACAGTCAGTAAGTGACTGGCCCCAGAGATCGTAACAGACAGAAAACCGCTGGCACCAGGGAGACAACAATGATGGTCAGTATACCACAGACATCATCAGGGAGAGCTAATAAACCACTGGCATAAGAGAGGTAACAGGGGCATCCAGTATATCACTTGCACAAGGTGGAGACTAGTAAACCACAGGCACCAAAGAGGGAACAGTAATAGCTGCTAAAACATTGGTACAGTGGTACCAGAAAGAGAACATTAACAGCCAATAAACTGCATCCACCAACATTGGGGTAAAGACTGCAACGTAAGTAAACCTGCATCCAGTGACACAGAGAGAGAGGGAACAAGAGATAAAAAATAACCAGAATCGTCAGTAATAATAATGCACGGCATCAATCAGTAAACTGGCATCTACTGGCACTGGTGATAGAACAAGTTATAGTGGTAGTCAAATGCCACATCTACTGACTCCAGAGAGAGTAAACAGTATCCATTATATCAGGAAAGCTTCATCTAATGATAACTAATATCATAATTGACTGTTGTATGGTAAATCAATTAATACTGATATAGTAATATTAATAATAATGCCATATTCACTTAAGCACACAGTTACAGTATATCATGTGAAACACTTTGGGACATCCTTCTAAGATGAATGGTGCTAAACTAAATGGAAGGATTGTTATTATTATAAATACTTTTGTAACTTGAATTATACTAACAATATTGTTGATAAATATAGTAATACTGAATATTCTGGTGATAATAATCCTTTTAATCCTTGCATTGCCTATTTCACATTGGGAGGTGTATCAAAGAACTTCACAGGATTTTATGTGAAGTGTAGTGTCTGTGTTTTGTAGAAGCAAATTTGTGCACAACAGTGTCCCACAAACAATAATGAAGTGAATGACCTAATTTATCTGGGGGATTGTTAACCCTACAAATCAGAGTCAAGGTAGAATGGTCTAAGTTGGACAAACGGCAGGAAGCTTGCCGAATCGTGGCATATGGTTTTAGCTGGTTAGACAGACTCCCAGCAGTACCCCAATGCACACTATGAGGTCCCAACCCTTGACTGTTGGCAATCTGTGCCTAATTCTCTCTGAATTAGGTAATCAGGTTGTGAGAGAATACACATTCTAATACATGGACCGAGAGTGGATTGCTGGCACATGTCACGAATGGCTAATTGCAAATCAGGAAGTGAATTTTCCTATTTTCCCTACCCCTTAACAAGCAACTGCTATGTTTGCTACAAGAAAACAAAACAAACTGTTGCAAATGTAACACAGCCAAACTCTGAAAATGATAGTTTCATGCTACATAGAATTTGATATTTTCCTGTAAAGACTTATTATCCTTAATAAGATCACTTTTATTTACAAATATTAATCTGTTTTTAAACTTGTTTTGTCTGAAGGCATTAAATGTCCACTATGGAAGTGCTAAGTGTACAGAAGGTGAATTGGCCGAATACGGTGAGTTGGATTCATTTCATTCTGTTTACTTATTTGAGGAAATATTTCCTTGCACATTGGTGTACAATGTAAATACTGCATACTTCAATGTTCATGGTAGTTCTTGCTTACAATATGCAATAAATAAACTTATGATTAAAATTGTTCTTCACTTCTGGACTCAAATTCAATCTAAACCGATGAGAACAGTATGATTTTTTTTCTGTCATTTTTCCTCTCTCTAACTTTGTGTTTTAATGAAATTTGCTTAGTGCTGACCCAGTGCTAAACTCAGAACATAATATGCTTTTCTCCCATATCATTAATTGGCAATGATTGGTCAAGTTTCACTCCAATCAAGTCTGAATAATAATAATACTTGCATTTGATATAACTTCTTATCACGTCATTGAGACGTCTCAAAGCACTTCACAGAATATATTGTAAAGTGAATTGACTGTATTTTGTGGGCGCAATGTGGCAGCCAAATACGCACAGCAGTGTCCCACAAACAGTTGTGGATTGGGCCAATTTAAAAAAAATGTGTATTATCTAAAAGAGCTGATGTTGAATATGAATTTATTTATACATAGGTGGCTTTGGTAATGTAAGCATTGTATTACCTGTTATCTTAACATCCTTGGGGGAGGTAAGTGGGATCTCTTTGGGTCTGAACTGGCAACTGAATGCCAGAATTGCATCGATCCTCTGCAGCCATCTCAATAGTCCACTTCCTGAGCCAGGTGGATCCGCAGTGCTCTAGCGCACTGTTGATGACAGCAGGGCAAGGCTGGCTCATCAGCAGGACTTGGAAGGGAAAAGGGAAGACCAGTTGCTGGGGGCAGGAACTCTTACCACTCGGGTCCCATTAACCACTACAATGTGGTCCTCACATACAAAGCCTTCCATGGCCTCACCCCACACTACCTCTGCGACCTTCTAATCCGCTACCAACCCGTCCATTCCCTCCGCTCAGCCCGCTCCGGCCTGCTCCACGTCCCCCGACCCACCCACCCCACCATTAGCAGGAGAGATTCAGCCACTCTGCCCCCAACTTCTGGAATTCCATCCCCTAGTCACTGCCTCACCCCCTCCTTAACCTCCTTCAAGTCTCACCTCAAGACCCTCCTCTTCGACCATGCCATCGGCCACCCTCCTTCCTCCCGACCCCAGCTCGGGTCTGAAAAGGTGTTCTCTGTCCAGCGCCTTGGGACGTCCTCCCGATGTGAAAGGCGCTATACAAATGTAATGTTGTTGTTGCAAGCCAAAGCCCTACCGTGTAAGGTTGTCCTAACTGAACAAGCAACCGAAAAGCTTGCCAGACAGCAATATCAATGGCAAGCAATGCGGTTTTAGCTGGTAAGATTCCAGCAGTACCCCAATGCACACTCTGGGGTCCCCAAGCCTTGGCTCGTGCTAACATGCGCCTAAAACTTTCCGGAATTAAGTAAGCAGAATGCATCCCTCCAGGGAGAGAGTGTTCATTGGATTCCAAAAAAGGCTGACATTTCCATGTGTAGGTTGGTTTGGATACTCTTAAACATGGTGATGGGTTTTCGCATGTGTCAGACACACGGCTGACCCCAAAAAAAGTTACCTGAGATTTTGGTTCTCTCATTTTCCTCTCAATTTATTGGCTATATTCAAAATGTGCAGAAATTTTGTAAATTAAGAAATCCGGATAAAAGAAAGGAGAGCATGATCAATGTTAATCCAAATCTAATAAAGTGTTTGATAAATTGAGCAGTAGTGATTATTTACGTTCAATCTTGGTTTTTAGAAGCTTTAGATTAAAATGGGAAAGACTGAGGGAGATTTTTGGTTCGCTGGCTTCTTGATACGTGCTAAATTAATATCCAGACCAGACTGGGAGTTCCGCAAATACATGGCCATAACAAAGGGAAATTTCTTTGTTTCGTCTGGATGACCTGTATTGTCACTATAACATTACTTTCTATATTTAAAAAGAAGTAAATTTCAACTAATTTTATGTTACTTATAATTGTCTCATTCAAATATTGCACCTGAAATTTATATGCACCGTGCTGGATATAGAAAATTTTCCAAAAGTAAGAGCGGAATATTTTTCAATAGTTAGAGAAATCTTTCATGGTCTATAATTTACTTAATACAAGATGTAGTAATTTGATCTTTGTCACTTGTAAAAAAAATAAAAAAATTCTGTATTCAGCAGAGATATCTTGAGTATGTTATGCAAAGGAAAATTGCAGGAGTTTTGTGTGGCATATGTTTGACTTTCAGAAAAGAATATAGTACAAATGATAAACCAACTGGCGAAGTTTCATGCAAAGAATGGAAGTGGAGATCATTATGAAACACTCCACAACAAATACTTGTCAGGAAGATTATTGATAACAATACAATAAATGTTCTTCACATTCAACTTGAAAAGGGCCTCAAATAGAGCGAATCACATAGATGATCTTTAAGGTTGACTTGAGAATGTGACTTCATTCTTTTCTGCCCTGTCATTTGTATATGATAATTATTTGTTTTGTCAGCTCCCTCTACATTGAATAATATGGGAACATATACTTAAATATATATACTTATATGTCAGATCACGTCTCAAAACTTTCCTCTTCGACTGTGCTTAAGGTCACCTTCCCCCGGCTTGGTATCAGGCTCCACCATTGTTAAGTGGTCCAAGACACTACCCTGCATGAAGAGTGCTATACAAATGCAAGTTGTTGTTCTTTGCTTTATTTTTCTCAAATTATAGAGTTCTGTGTCTGGATCTGGATTAAAACTGTTCTGAATTCCAGAATGGATCATCAGCATTGAATAGATACTAGTAAAGTTTATCTACAACACAAAGTATGTACACTTGTGCGATGTCAAATCACTTATTCGGAAAACAATTAGTCTATTGAGTTAACCATATCTGTAAAATATTGATCTAAAAAAGATCTGCTCGGCATCCAATCCAGTCAACTTATTGCATTGTTAAGATGCTTTCTGTTATTAAAGATTAAAAGTTCAAAATTTCCCCCAAAATAACCACAATAATATTCTCAATAACAGTAATAATAAACCTAATATTTATCATACAGCTACAATCAAGTGCCAGTTATCCCCTTGTCTGTTTATCCCCCAATGGACTCTGAAATGGCAGTCTCAGATAACATTCTCAGCATGAAAACTACTTTATGCATATTTAAGAAGAATTTAATATTATGAACCTTTCAATTGAGGGCATTGATGCTAAGGTTTAAATATTGTTTTAGTTCAATACTCAATCCTTAGAATTTTCCTCTTTTCAATCTTATAAGTCTGATGTGTACTGGCAGACCCTTTTATATACACCCCAGTTTCGCAGTTATACTGTTGAACATTATACTGGAACAAAGTGACATTAATGGTTCTTCCCATGCATATCTTGCATGCACACAACGCACAGGAAAAGGTGACCACAGGACTGACCTGAAAGCATTGACCGGTGACTGTTTTATAGTGCGGCTCGTTCTAAACTCTGTCTAAACCATTGTATTGTAATAGGCTCGACTTGTGCAAGATATTTGTCAATAAATAAATGGATATTGGCTGTGTGTCTGCTGTGTTTTCTTGGTAAACAAAACAAGTATTTCAGTTTGAAACAAAAGAAATGAACAGTAAGAAATAAAACTTATCAAAAATGTAGTTACAGCACAGAAGCAGGCCATTCGACCCAACTAATCAATGCTCCATATGTGCCTCCACACCTCCTAATTCTTTTGCCAATACACCTCTCCCTCATGTATGAGGGAGCATGTATTTCAAGTGTTCTCGGATGTTACTGTGAGCGAGCAGTGTTATATTAATGCAAATTGTTGTATGCAACAAGTTTCTTAAATGCTTTTTGCTTCAACTGCAGCTTCTGGCATCAGTTCTACTTTATCACCACTTTCTGCATAAAGAAGTTTGTCCTAAACTTAATTTTATGATGAGACATTAAACCGAGGCCCAGTCTGCCTGTTCAGGTGGATGTTAAAGGTCCCATGGCACTACTCAAAAAGAGAAGGGAGTTTCTCCCAGTGTGCTAGCCAACAATCCCCCAAATAAATTTGGTCATTCATTCAGTGGCTGTTTATGAGATGTTACTGTGCACAAACTGGCTGCTGTGTTTTTCTCACAAAATACACAATCCAGTATATTTACAGTATATCCTGAGAAGTGCTTTGAGACGTCTTGATGACATGAACAGATGCTATATCAAATGCAAGAATTATTATTATTATCCTTCCTGTAGTATGGCAACCAGAACTACACCAATATAGTGTAACCAAGGTTTAATATACATTTTTATTATTAGCCATCTATGCTACTTTTAGAGTCACTACACTTAAAACTATCTACTGAGAAGAGCTTTGAGACATTTGCCGTGAAAAGATACTATTTCAAATGAAAATATTTAGTTTTGGCATTCTCTCAGTTCTAGCTGAGCAATACTCTACCGCTACTCTCGGAAAGGTCATGCAAACTGCCTCATTCCCACCACAAGGCTCACCTTGCACCTCACAAATGAATCTCTATTTTCTTAATCGTGCCCCCTTCTCCACTGTCTTATCCACCCTCCAATTGCTCCTGTTGCTAATTTTTCTGCAGAAACCTGTAAAGTGCCTGTTTCCTGAAGAATAATCTGTATGGATATTTCAATCTGAGTGAAAACACTGATTTACCTCATCCACGTGCCACCAAAACTCTTGTCCAGCTTCGTTACCTCCCGCCTCGACTTTTCAAATGCTCTTCTAGCTGGACTCCCAAGCTGTACCATCCATAAGTTCTAACTTATCGAAAGTTCTGCCACTTGCATCCTCACCTGCACCAAACTCTATCACCCAGCGTTCACCAAGCTTTACTTGTTTTCTGTCTTTCAGTGAATGATTTAAGTCCTTATATTTACCAATAAATCTCTTCACAACTTATCTCATTGATCTTCTCCAACCCCACTCTTTTCGCCTACTCCACTTGGCTAATGTGGGGTTGGTAAGTGTCCCCTGCGCTCTCTGCGTCCTCTTGGTGGTCAATTCAGTTTATGTACTAGTAACCTGTGGAATTTACCTCAATCCCTTCAGAATTTAAGTAATGTGATATATCACATGTCTTATTTTATTAAAATGTTGTCAATGTTTTTGCAACCTTTTAAAATATATGCCTGTAATTGTATTTTCCTTCTGCATGCACAGATCTCCAGGATTTAACTGTCCAAGTTGGTGCACAAAAGAATGAAATACACCTTGAAACACATATTCTTGACACAAAAATGGAAATTCGTTGTGGTGGCTTGCTTTTCAGTTCCAAGTTTGATTCTGGAAACCTTGCTCAAGTTGAAAAGGTGGATCGCTTTGAAGGAGAAGGGGATCCGGCTCCTACTGGCAGCACTAACTGTGGGATATTTGGGAATGCTTTTTCCTTTCCGGACTATGAGTTTAATGTGCAGACGAAGCCAGATTGTGGAGAGACTGAGTTTGAGAATGGAAACAGGTAATTCTACAAGTTCTTCCATTCTGTAAGTTTGTTTATTCTGTGGTGTACATTGAATCTTTTATTCAAGATCAAAGCTGCTTGGAGCACAAGATGTGTGTGTTCGCCTGGCCCACTCTCGGCTCTTGAGTTATAAAGTTGTGGGTTCAAGCCCCTCATCAAGACTTGAACTCATAAAGCTGGCACTCCAATTCAGTACTGGGTGTTTGTTGGATTGTCGGAGGTTCTGTTCTTTGAATGAGACATTAAACTGATGTTCTGTTAGCTTGTTCAGGTAGATGTTAAAGATCCCATGGCACTTCCCAAAAAGAGAGTTTTCTCCTTGTGTCCTGGCCAACAATTCCTCCACTTAATGTTGGTCATTTGTTTCATGGCCGATTGTGGGACATTACTGTGGTGCGTTTTGTGATATCCTCCTGAAGTGGAAAGTGCTATATCAAATGTAAGGATTATTATAAGGGTGAAACCTTGGGCAAGTTTCCTTACTCCACACTCCTAATAATAATCACTCGAAAACAAAACAATAATAAATTGGTCTTTTTCAATCCTCGACTGTTTGTGGGACACTGCTGTGCGCAATTGGCTGCCGCGTTTGCCCACAAATATACAGTCAATTCACTTTACAGTCTATTCTGTGAAGCGCTTTGAGACGTCGAGAAGATGTGAAAAGCGCTATATCAAATGCAAGGATTATTATTATTATGTTCCTTTTCACATGTTCAATGTTGAATTCTTCTCTGAAGGTTAAACCTGTAGAGTTTGCTTAGAAGACTGTTTAACTTTCTAAGCACAAATATTTTGAAATATCTGTTATACAGTTATCAGTATTCAAATGTTTTCTCATTGTATATCATTTTAAACACTCTATAGTTTATGCCTATGGTCAATCTTGTTTACACCCATGGTTATCAACTGGATTGACTGCATTTATCTGGGGTATGATAATTAAAAGTTGTTTTGCAGTGAAACTCCTTTTTTTATTAGGTGTACAAAGTGTTAATTCTTGCTGCATTCTGAACTCTTTGTTTTAATTACCTTTTCCCATCTCTAGATCCTGGTTTTACTTCAGTATAAAGGGAGGAGCACCTGGCAAACTGATTAAAATCAACATTACTAATATGAATAAACAAAGCAAACTTTATTCCCAAGGAATGGCCCCCTTTGTCAGGTCCCTACCTGTAAAACAACGCTGGGAACGTGTGCGAGACCGACCAACATTTGAGGTACGGAAAATGGCAGCTATGAAAGTATAGAGACAAGTGTTGATTTGGTGACTCTGAGTAAAATGAGTATGTTTAAATTACGCTGGTAAATTCCTAAAATATCTCTGGATAGAAATACAATTAGTTTTAAACAATACTTCACGATCTTGTTCTTCCTTTCCTATGCTGTCTTATTCAGCCCTGTTCTCCTGCCAGTACCCTCGATTCTCCCTGCCCCTGGAACCCTTCCAAAATTTCACCTCACTGATTTTTTCTCTGATTTCCCAAAACCTTCTGACAAATTAAAAAATTGTGGATGGTGGAACGGAGGAGATCTACGAGGAGTGCATTTGCCACACAAACACCCAACACACATTGGAGCTGGGCAGGGATTGGGGTGATATGCGTGCAAATGTGGGCGAGGATTGGGTGATAGGTAGTGAGGAAATGAGCAGGGTTATTTGATTAGTTGGTGGAACTGAAATTTGCAAGGAGTGCATTTGAGAAGTCAAGATGGGAGATGATAAAATTGGAAAAGTGGATTTGACTATGCCTTTGGATGATGTTACCGAGAGGATGAGAAAAAGGAGAAGGTTGAAGATTAGCCCTCAGGTACACTGCAGATAACTGTTCGAGAAAACTGGAGGAGAAAATATTAGCGGAGACAAAGTGGAGATATTGGGTTGAGTAGAATTGGAACCAGGAGAGAGAGGTCTCGCAAGGTGACAGTGGAAGCAGAAAGTGTTGTTTGTTTCAAGAACAAATTAGATAGATTTCTGCTGGAAAATAATATCTCGTACAGTATATAGTTCGTGACACGACATGTCAAGCCACTGCCAGGATGGTGGAAGGCGAATTAGATAGATCTTGGTCTTCTTTGGCCGAACAAATTCTTATCTGCTTATGTTCTTAGGATGGCATGCTCCTCCTAGGGAGGATAAAACAGTATACAGTTAGAGATGAGAAGAGAGTCACAGAAAGAGCTAGAGAAAGTGAGAGACAGAGAAATAGAGATTGAGAAAGTCAGGGACCAAGAGATAGAATCTTGGAAAGAGAAAGAGGCTTAGAGAAAGAGCGAAAAGTGAGTTAGAGAGGAAAACAAGTCTGACGGTGAAAGAAAGCATGAGAGAGAATGAGAATGGCACAGAGGGAAGGCTGACAGTATGGTACCATCATGACAATATAAATGCTGATGGAAGAATTGTTTTAGTTAGCACTGTAGCCAATTTGTATTCTGACTGATGATCAATTACGCACACTGTTTGCGTATCCACAATAGGGCCAGTTCTAATCGGTGCACATAATTGGCACTCTACTGCACCTCTTTGGTCAACATCCTTTATTCTCCCTTTGTTTTCTTTGCTCAGTGCGCTATCATTTTTTTAATGTGCTTCGGAACATTCATGCTATTTCAAAAAATGCTATGTAAGTGCAACTTGTTGCAATCATATCTGTGTTTTAGCTGAGTTTTTTAATTTATTATTTTGTTTCAATACAGTTTGTGGATAACCAGTTTATTCTCTCTTTTACACATCGTTTTGTGGAATATCGTGGAGCAACAACCTACTTTGCATTTTGCTTTCCATTCACATATTCTGAATGTCAAGAGATGTTAATGGAACTGGATGAAAAATTGGAAAACGGCAAAGAACTGTCTTTAAGCAGGTAGGATTCAAGGCTGTTGTCAACAAGGCTGTTGTCCACCTTTTTTTCCTTTATCGCAGGTAACTGGATTAACTTGAAAACATGAATGACCTAAATTGTTACGAGAAGAAATCTTCAACAAGGTTATGCAATTTTTTTTTCAGTCCTCCTGATTCAATCTACTATCACCGTGAGCTGTTGTGCTATTCCTTGGACAAACTGCGTGTGGACCTTATCACAGTTACCTCATGTCATGGAATGATGAAAGAACGTGAACCACGGCTAGAAAATCTATTTCCTGATAATTCTTTTCCTCGACCACACAGATTCAGTGGGAAGCAGGTAATAAAACTTCTCATTTCCATGTTTGCAAGCTTGATTCCTTTATGAATACACTAACATTTTTAACAAAAGTATAAAATACCGCTATTGCTTTCAGTGCAGGAAATATTTATGAAGAAGAGATTTGGTTATCTGGGCTACCTTTGAATCTGAATGTACAACTTGTTTGATTGTCTGGACATTGCTATTTGAAATTTTTAAATTTCATTCAGGTTTAATCAACTGTTTTTTTCCCCCGATAATAAACAGATTTACTTGTTTAAAATTTGCCACTCTTGTTGGCAAATGGAATAGCATATCCATCTTCATTGCTCACCATATTACTAACAAATGGGCACTTATGTCATGGGTCACAAGATCAGCATGTTTGTTTTCTCCTCACCCGCCCCCTCCCCCAATTTCTAAGGTAGAAACTTTCATTGGCACCGGGGTACTTAAGTAACATTTGCTGTAACTAATTATTTTTCTCTTTATAGTCTGAAAATTCCAACATTTGTTCATCTTTATGATTCTGAGTAATGGTATACCTGAATGAATTGACTTACAGTTGTATTATCATTCTTCTTTTCATCTTTTCTAGGTGTTCTTCCTTAGTAGTCGAGTCCACCCCGGTGAAACTCCCTCCAGTTTTGTTTTCAACGGTTTCTTGGAGTTTATTTTACGGCCTGATGATGTTCGAGCTCAGATGCTGAGGCGAATGTTTGTCTTTAAACTTATACCTATGTTGAATCCAGATGGCGTATTGAGGGGCCATTATAGGTAAGGTTACAACTATCAAACGTTTACTGCTACAGGTAATGCATTTAGCTATTTAATAGAGTACAACACAAAACATCATTAGGCATTTATATAGTGCCTTTCAAATTGGGAGGACGTCTCAGTGCTGGCTGGGTACACGAGCCGGGGGTGGGAGCTGAAGAGGCTGGGGAGGGGAAAGATGACTGAAAGTATGGTCAAAGAGGTATGTCTTGAGGCGGGCTTTGAACATGGAGTTCAAAGGGAGAGCGCAAATTCCCATCTCAGGGATGGCAACTTCAGAGTACTTCATTGCAACATTTCAAATACTTGTTTCATTTGACATCTGTTCAATTTTTGATGTAATCTTTCACATATAATAATCTTTGCATTTGATAAGTCTTAAGTTAAAGCGCTTCACAGAATATATTGTAAAGTGGATTGATTGTGTATTTTGCGGGCAATGAAAGTTGAACACAGTAATTTAATTAAACTGTATTAATAAAATAATGCTATCTACCTGTGTCAATTTGACCTTTTTGTATTTCCTAGAACTGATTCCAGAGGTGTGAATCTGAACCGTTTGTACTTGGATCCAGATTTTAATTTGCACCCATCAATTTATGCAGCACGGACAATCATCCTGTATCATCATGTTCAGAATCGTGTCTGCATAGGTCATTCGGACTGGAGTAGGTTCTCTAACCCTAATGCTTCCTTAAGCACAAAACACTCAAATCATTCCAACAGTTCTTTCTCTTCTGAAGCTATTTTGTCCGAGATGGAGAAAAGCAAAAATTTTAAAAACATTGCAAATGGGGAAAGGAATTGCCTTATTTCCTGTGAAGAGAGAAAACAATCCGCTGATGCATTAAAACAAGGTGACGATAACAATGGACAACCTCTTTCAGAGGCATTAAATGATGGAGAAACAAATTCACTTAATGGTGAACTGTGCAAGAAAGCGCCTGATAGCAGCGACTCTTCAAGATCCACTGACTACATTCCTCCTGAAGAGAGTGGCATTGCATACTATGTGGACTTACATGGACACGCTTCAAAGAGAGGCTGTTTTATATATGGAAATTGTCTTTCTAATGAAAATGACCAGGTTGGTACTTTGAAAGATAAGATGAAGGAATGAATGTACATACAATATGACACAAGATGTAAGTTGTCTGTGGAAACATAGTGAATTGTATCCATGTTGTTTGAAGGACATAAATGGCTGAGGAGTTGTCAGTTATTGACTAATAGCTTTATTATAATAATAATAATAATCCTTGCATTTGATATAGCGCCTTTTCACGTTTTCTCGATGTCACAAAGCGCTTCACAGAATATACTGTAAATGAATTGACCGTATATTTGTGGGCGAAACGCGACAGCCAATTGCACACAGCAGTGTCCCACAAACAATCGTGGATTGAAAATGACCAATTTATTATTTTTGTTTTTTGGAGGGATTATTATTATTATTATTACTTACAATAGACATCATTAGGCATTATTTTTCTGTGAATGATATTAGTAGGCCATAGAACAGAAGCATCACCCATTGATATAAGAGTGTTTAGGCTAGAACTTATGAAATACATGGTAATTTCCCATTTTTAAATATGTACTTCTTCTTCATGTTTGTTATTTATCAACAATAGAAACATCTCAAGGAGCATCTTTACTTTTGAGATATTTTTGACATCCCTATATTACTATATTGTGGGTTGTTATTGTTGCTGTTGTCTATAAGGCAGGTTTGCATGCTGGCTATTTTAGTTATGATATAGGACAGCTTATTGTGTAAGCAGCAATATTGTTTGTTTCAAAAATAGTGATTCAGAGAAGAAGATTTAAGGTCTGTACAAAGCACTCATTAGTTTTTACAAAATCAGATAGATATAATAATAATAATCCTTGCATTTGATATAGCGCTTTTCATGTCTTCTAGACGTTTCAAAGCGCTTCACAGAATATACCGTAAAGTCAATTGACTACATTTTTATGGGCGAAACGTGGCGGCCAACTGCGCACTGCAGTGTCCCACAAAAGTCATGGATTGAAGTGACCAATTTATTATTGTTTTGCTTTCTTGAGGGATTATTATCAGGCGTGTGGAGTAAGGAAACTTGCCAAAGGTTTCGCCCTGCCGGGAATCGAACTCAGGTCTCTCGTTGCGAGGCGAGTGCTCTAACCACTGAGCTACAGGACTCCATTTCTACAGGACTATATCTAAATATAGATATTTAACATATTTAATTCAAGACATCCTACACACACCAGGTTTCCTTTACTAGGGACTTCCTGTAAGACCTTGCAAATAATATGAAGATATCAACTTGTCAAAGCTATTGCAAACCTGCTTTAGATTCAAATAGTGCAAGAATTTTGATCACATGGGCGCTTCTTTCAACATCATGACGTTGACACAAGGAGATGCTCCTTTTTGCAATAATTTCATTGGAACTAGTAAGCGTTTGGTGCTATTTAGGATATGCCCATTGATCTTCTCAATCTTTATTATGTATAAGCTTTCTTTAGATATGTGTTTCTGTTCCAATGTTCATGTTTAACACATTTCTCTCATGTTTATAGACATGCTTTGTGAAACTTTAAACTTTTGGGTTCTAATTACTAAAGGTTTTGTGATTTGATTCAGTTATTTGATGAAGACCTGCATCGACTCATTTTATTGTTTTAGTCATCCTTGATTTTGGTAATTGTAAAGAAAGGCATTAAAAGAAAACCAGTAAGACAAGGACAGTAACACAGGGAAAAACATTTTTAGGGACATTGAAAAAGAAGCTGGATACTATTATATGGTTACGTTGGTTTATAAAGTATATGATCAAGTTGTTTTCATAGATGTCAGTTTGGACAAGTTTGTAGCACTCGCAACTCTGGGTCATAAGGTTGTATGTTCAAGCCATTTTATCTCTAGATTGACACTCAGTGCAATAATAGGGCTGAGTGCATTGTCAGAGGTGTCAAATTTCCATTTATTTATAATAGCTCCTTTCAAGTTGGGAGGATGTCCCATTAATGATAATAATCCTGACGTGGGACCCATGTTGGCACCCAAATGAGGGGATTCGACAGGGTGAACAAGGAGAAACTATTTCCACTGGCGGTGGGCCAGTAACCCGCGGACACCGATTTAAAATAGAGGGGAGGTGAGGAGAAATTTTTCCACACGACGACAACAACAACAACAAGATTATTTATAGAGCGCCTTTCACGTCGGGATGATGTCCCAAGGCGCTGGACAGTTAGGTCGGGATCCGAGCAGGGGGGAAATGGTCAGGGTGAGGGAAGGGATGGGAGGGAGCGAGGCGTGGGGTAGAGAGTCGAGAGGGGAGGTGAAGGCACACAGCGAGTTGTTTGGGTCTGGAATGCATTGCCTGAAAGGGTGGTGGAAGCTGATTCAATAACAACTTTTAAGAGAGAAGTAGGTAATTATTTGGGGAGGCAAGTTTGCAGGGCTATGGGGAGAGAACAGGGGAATGGGATTGATTTGGATAGCTCTTTTCAAAGAGCCGGTACAGACATGATGAGCCGAATGGCCTCCTTCTGTGCTGTATAATTCTATGATTCTATGATATGGAGGATGTCTCAAAGCACTTCAAAGAATTTACTGTAAAGTGTAGTAACTGTGTGTTTTGTGGACAAACGTAGCAGACAATTTTGCAAACAGCAGTATCTCACAAACAGCCATGAAATGAATGACCAATTTTATTGGGGATTGTTGGCCAGGACACCAGGAGAACCTCCTTTCTCTTTGCAAATAGTGCACCTAAACAGGCAGATGGGACCTTGATTTAAAATCTCATCCAAAGGAAAGCACCTCAGACACTGCAGCACACTCTAAAATTGCACTGGAGTGTCAGCCTGGACTATATGAGTTGCTGAACATGGGGTTTGAACCCACAATCTTCTGACTCAGAGATGGGAGTGTTACCAACTGAGCCAGGCGGACATACAATTGATTAATATTAATTAACTGCTTACTGTACATAGTGCATTTGCTTCCACAAATCTGAATATTTGCCTTATATGCTTAATTACCTAGCAACTCATTAACAGTTTACTTTAGCTCCTTTTTCATTTTTCCATATAGGTTGAGAACATGATGTTTCCAAAACTGATTTCAATGAACTCGCCACATTTTGATTTCATGGGTTGCAATTTCTCTGAAAAAAACATGTATGCCAAAGACAAGAGGGATGGCCAGTCCAAAGAGGGAAGTGGCAGAGTGGCAATTTACAAAGTCACTGGAATAGTTCGTAGGTGAGAGCTTAAGGTTACAATTATAATTTCCATTTATGTAATGCCCTTAATTTCTGGAGGACATCTTCCTACTGCTGACTGGGAGCCCGAGCTGGGGTAGGGAGAAGTTGATTGCGGGGAATATATGGCTGAAAACGTACATCTCAGGGTGGTTTTGAATATGGGGAGGGTGGGGCAATACAGAAAGATTCTGGTCATGGAATACAGAAAATGGGGGCTGAATGGCACTCACTGATGGTGAGACGGATTGAGGAGGGGACATGAAGCAGGCTGATGTTTGAAGAGCGGAGAGAGCGGCTGGGGTAGTAAGCTCAAAGGAGGTTGCAAAGGTAGGGTGGGGCGACCGTGGAAGCATTTGGAAATTGAGGTCGAGAAACTTAAATTTGATCCGCTGTGGGGTATTGTGGAGGGAGGACTGCAGAGTCCAGCCAGCAAGGCATTGGAATAATGAATTTGATGAAGGAGTAGATGAGAGTCTTGACAGCCTGGGGTGGTGATATAGTGGTAGAGATAGACAAAATTGCAGAGGTGAGAGAAAGCTGTTTGATGTATATATAATAATAATACTTGCATTTGATATAGTGCTTTTCACGTCTTCTAGACGTCTCAAAGCGCTTCACAAAAATGCTGTAAAGTGAATTGACCGTATATTTGTGGGCGAGGTATAAGCGTAATATAGTACTGATATATAATATGTAGAACAAACATTTTCTACCCAGCAGAAGAGGCCGTTTCAGCCAATTGTTTAAGCGCTTTGAGATGTCTTACTGATATGAAAGGCACTATATAAATTTAAATTGTACTGTCTGTGCCACACGACTTGTTTTTCTTAATTTTTTTTGTTGATCACCCTTTCCGGGTCTTTCTCCATATCCCTTAATGTTTTTTGTATTGCTAAGGTGCTTATCCAGGTCCCTTCTTCACAATTCCATTAATCCAACTTCAATAGTTACTTGTGGAAATTAATTCCAATGCCTGATTAACCCTTTGAGTTCCATTCCTTCTAACCTTTGTACTACTTTTTTCAGTTTACAACCCTGATACTATGTCTAGCTGTCACCGATTTCCTAACTAAAGGAAATACTTTTTACCAACCTAAATGTCATCCCTTCAGGATCTAAAGCACTTCTATCATAACCTCTCCAATCTCTTTTCCATTGAAATAGCACAGTTAAACAGTCTGTCTTAATATGTATATTGACTCATATCCGGGATCATCCTAGTGAATCACTTTCTGCTTCTCTAATGACATCCTTCCTGAAGTGGGGATCCCAAAAATAAAAGCATAATTAGGCCTGACAATTAGGAAATCATATTTGGGCTATATTTGAAAATCATATTGGGTTATTGTACAAAACATGAAATACTAATTTATTTCCCTTCTCGACAAGGAAAATATGCCTCCCTTTTCTCAGTCTTAAAAGAAAACTTCAGTAAACTATTTCCTTTTGTTTTAATTACTGTGATAAAAGAAAGCCAGATATTTATGGTTTTTGAGTTAATCTCCTATATATGTATCAATTGAAAAATATTTTGCATAGTAATTAGACAGCTGTAGAATTCTCCCACCCCCACATTTTCAGTATAATAATTAATGGCTCCTAAAATTTCTTCTGCAGCTATACCTTGGAATGCAATTATAATACTGGACGGTGTGTGAATGCAGTCCCACCTGCATGCCACGACAGTGGGCGAGCAAGTCCACCACCATCCCCTGCTTTTCCGCCTAAATACACTATAGACGTCTTTGAACAAGTATGTAAATATTTTAATTGCTATCACTTCGTAATGAGCAATTTGCCTTCATCATCTTATAACAACAACAACAGCAACTTGGATTTATATAGCGCACTCCACGCCGGACGGTGTCTCAGAGTGCTTGAAGTCTATGTATTGCCTTCATAATCTTAAACTTTAATTAGATCATCTCATCAGTTGCCTCTTTTCTAAAGAAACAGGCTGAACTTCCTTAACCTCGCCTCCTAATTTAAATTACTGAAAAAAGGAATAACAACAACAAAATTACATTTGTATAGCACCTTTCACGTTGGGAGGACATCCCAAGGTGCTGGACAGTCAATGTTTCGGACCCGAGCTAGGGGTTGGGATCAGGGAGGATGGAGGGCGGGGTGGGGAACAGGGTGATCGAATGCATGGTTGAAGAGGAGGGTCTTGAGATGAGTCTTGAAGGAGACAAGGGATGGGGGAGGCAAAGGGACTGTGGGATGGAGTTCCAGAGGGTGGGGACAGAATGGCAGAAGGCCCACCTGCCAATGGTGGGGCGGGCGGGAAGGGGCCGTGAAGCAGGCCGGAGGCCGCTGAGCGGAGTCGAACGGGCAGGATGGTAGGGGATTAGGAGGTCTCAGAGGTAGGGGGGAACAAGGCCATGGAGGGCTTTGAAGGTGAGGACCAGGTTCTTGAACTGTATCCTCTGTGTATGGGAAGCCAGTGGAGTTGGGTGAGGAGGGGGTGATAGGGTCACAGAGCCTGGTGCTGCAGAGTTCCCAAAGAAAAGTTAATTTGGCTCTTGAAGTCTGCGTCGTCCTTCCATGCAAAACATACTCTATTGTACATTTCACCACACCTGGGAGATATATTTTGTGTAGATATTTACTCAGTGCCCACAGGTCATCAGGAAAAATCTCCAAAATATGTATCCACCCTAACATATTTTATTCCAAATAGGTATTAATAAGTATGCCTTGTGAAGCAATTTGAGACATTATAAATTCCAAATGCAAGTTTTTCTTTTTCTGCCTGTTACTAAAAAGTTATCTTTTCTGTTTCCTCAGGTGGGGAGGGCTCTTGCCATTGCAGCTTTGGATATGCTTGACCTCAACCCTTGGCCAAGAATTGTTTTGTCTGAATTCAGCTCCTTGATAAATCTTCGTGCGTGGATGTTGAAATATGTCCGGAATGCAAGGGGTATGGGGAATTCAAAAAAAAATGGAACAAAGACTTTGTATAAAGGCTCCAAGTAAGTTCCAAAATGTTTTCGGTGACATTCACTGTCAGATTAAGTGAAGCAAGTTGTAAATATCTGAAGGAAATAACAGGTTGCACTACATTTTAAGAACCATTGATGAGGGTTGTTGTTTCCATACAAATGAATGGTGGACGTGAATATACATATCAATGTGGTTAAGAGTATATGATATGGTTAGTGGAGTTCTGTAGCATGCATCTATCTTGCTGCTGGTGACCATTGCCTCTCGAGATATTTTTTCTGTACTGCAGACAACTACAAAGATCCTGCAATGCTGAAAAGCACTTTATAGCAATTGAGCACAGTCATAGAAAATGTAATGATTTCAGGTTAATTACAATCCAATCCAATATACATTAAATTGTAATGGATTGTAATTAAGCTGAAATCATTACATATTGATATAGAACTTTCATGTTAAAATCACTTTTAATACTGCTGGGCATCCAAGCTGCGACTGGAAGGAGTAGGATAAAGGAAAGATAACCAAAAGCGCAGTCAAAGAGGTACAACTTAAATGAGGTGAAGAAGGGAGCAAGATGGTGTCGGAAGGACTTCCACAGATTGGGGGCAGAATGGCCAAAAGCCAGCTCGCCGATGGTGGGGCAGATAACAGATTGATGTTTGCTGAGCAAAGGGAGCGGCCAATATGGTACGGTTCAAGAGGATCACAGAGATAGGGTAGGGTGACACTGCAGAAAAATCCTAAAATGTCCCAGCCAACGATTTCCCAAGTAAAATTGAAGCCAAGGCTCTATTCTTGGCCGGCTCTTTTTTCTGATTTGCATGCTTTCTCTCGGTGATGTCATCTGCAGACATAAGGTCAACTTCCACCTGTATATGGACGACACCCAAATCTACTTCTCCACCTGCGACCCCAGGTCCACCAATGTCCTGTCCTGGATGAATGGCAACTTTCCATCAAGGCCTGGATGAATGGCAACTTTCTGCAGCTGAATGTTGACAAGATGGAATCCATACTTGACTCCCATCAATATTTTCTCACCTGAGGCACTGACCTTCTTAACCTCCCTGGCCTATCCCTTAGACTTACTGAACTTGTGTGCAACCTAGCCATCATATTCAATCAACAGCTGTCCTTCCTTCCCCAAATCCAGTCACTGAGTATTCGTCACTTCCCAGCTAGATTTTTTCAATGCCCTCCTCACCAGTCTCTGCAGCTCCACCATTCATAAAATTAATTCAAAACTCTGCCACCTATGTCCCCAAGAGTACTAAACTTTACACCCCCATCACCCTAGTCCTTGCCAGGTTCCACTGGCTCCCTATTGTCATACTCTTTTACAGTGTATTCTGCGAAGCTCTTAGAGACGTCTCGATGACATGATAAGGCACTATATCAAATGCAAAGATAATTATTATATAACAGTGAGTGCAATATTCTTATCAGAACCGTGCAATCAAAGGTTTTGAATTTTCAATTTTTTTTACATTTCAGTGGAATAACGACCTCTGCCTCGGAAAGTTCTCTCAGTAGGATCAAGAATAATGGAAATGGAATATCCGGAAACTACAGTGGGCATCAAAATCATTCTCTGGCAAAGGGATCTCCCAGTTTCACCTTTGGTTGCAGCCTTGGATTAACAAAGGGGAGCTGTGCAACAGCAGCGAATTCGAGCCCTCCAAAAACTGGATACAGGGCACTGGGACCTGTGAGAGGTAAGATGTGAACAATTACGGAGATCTATCTTCTGTGTTCACCTTTCTTATGTACGTACATTTTAATTAATGAACACAATTTCCTAGGATTTTATTAGAACGTGTTTCATATTGTATGTTTTAATACTACTAATTATAAATTTATAACCCACAAAAGCATATTCTTTATGTGATTATATATTGTGCCAATAAACTGATCAGTTCATGATTAGTTATTAACCCGCCCTCATTTTGGGGAGGACATTTTAATCCCAGAACAATGAATAACAAAAACATTTAAATGAATAATAGAAATTTCATTTTCATTACTCAAAATGTTATCAGTTAATAAAAGCATTCTTATCCTCTTCTATTACTGCTGCCACAGGAGATGCTTGCTGCCTGGTAGTATAATCTGGCTAGTGGACACTCTATGATCATAGTTTATGACTTTGCGTTTGGTTGTAAAGATATGGTTTTACAGTTATCACTCACTCCCCTTCTTCCTCTTTAGGCATCATTCAAAAACTTTGCTATCAAATGAATCTTCAATTGTAGAAAATAACATTAAATGATTTTTATTCTGGCATCTATGGCTTCAGTGGAATTTAGATACTGTACACTCCTGCCTTTGTTACTGGACTTTCGCAAGGACCTTACCAACATTTCCAGTTATGTTGTATTTATACTGATGTGGATTATTTGCAATGATGTGCTGTGGGTTTATATTGCCTGTTCCAACTAGCTTTCAATTAGACTGAAAGTCCAGCTCTTCAATAACATTAAAATACTCTGCTCAAACTCCCAGACTGTTCCTTTCATGATCTTTGAATGGACCTTCAGGGATAAAGCCCAATACAGTTAACCTGAATGAATCACATTGCTCCTGAAACTGTCTCCTCCAGGTAATGTCAGGAGAGTGGCGTACAAATTGTGCTGTCTGAGTTCCTGTTTATATTGCACGCTTGGCAGGAGGGTTTACTTTCAAGATACTTTAAAAAGCATATTGGATGTGGCAGGCAGAAATTATTCACTAACATCTGTGATGTGAATCAGTGATGTGACTGCATGTGTGCAGATGGCTGGCTCCATCAGCAACCTTGAAATCGCATTGTCGCGTTCAAAATTGCATGGTTGCGATGATATGTTTTGAAATGTGACAATGGAATTTGAAGTGTGATTTGAACTATGGCAACAGATTTGGATGCCGCAGTGTCTGGATTTTAGATGTTCAGGTAAAAAAATTAGGGTCCACAACCCAATTATGAATTAGAATAAGGTGTTTTACCAGCCAAATTATTGTGTCCCTGTATTAGACAACATATTTTTGGTAGTGGATGTGGTACTGACAGTGGAAGTGTTTCAGAAGTGGGCTGTTGATGATGTTGAGTTATTAAATATCTGTCCATGGTATCCTGTTACATTAGTACACATTATTAGACCCTGTCTAAAGTTTTCCATAGATGCAAAATAAAGGCTACTCTTGGAGGGTAATTGCTCTTTGGGGAAGCATATTAAACATTGGAAGAATCGTCAGCAAAATCCTACCAAACTTGGTTGTGGACAAAGCAATTTCTACATATTAGAAAAACAGAATAGGAAACTGCTGAAGGGTGATTAACATTGGAACTTCATTGGTATCATATTCAACAACAACAACAAAATCTTGGACTTATATAGCGCCCTCTATGCCGGACTGCGCCTCAAAGCGCTTTACAGTTTCGGATCCTGGGACCGAGCCAGGGGGAGGGGGGGGAAGGTGACTAAAGGCGCGGTTGAAAAGCTCTCTTCAGCAGAGAGTTCATGGTTGATATATCTCTTGAAAGACACAGAACTTATTACTGGCTGTTTTACATAAGAGACAAAATCTACATACCAAGTGTGATCGTGAATGGTTTTTGCCCCCAGGTGTTAGAAATTTGCATTGGAAAGCAAAAGTCCTTGGTGTGACTGGACAGCTTCAGAAAAAGAAGACGCAAATACAACTCCTGAACTGTCTTTAAAGGAAATGAAATATTAAAGCTGATGACTAAGTGAATGAATATCAGGATACCAATATCAAAAATACTGTGAAATACAGAACTTGTGCATATAATAAGTGTGAGGGTACCATAGGATAAAGATTTGTGCAGAGCCGACGCAGTAGTGCTATTAATTGCTTTGACTCAGTTTTAAAGTTGAGTATATAAGAATACTTAAATGAAAGAGTATCCATGGCAAAATCTTTAAAAAATATTAATTTGCTAGTTTGCATCATCTTGAGGTCTGAAATAGTAGTGTTTTGTGCTTAAGATCATCATCGTAAAGTATATATTTGTGTAGAATTTTGGAACATTTTTAAATTTATGCTTTGGAAAGTGTTTTTCTACAGTTCATAAATAATGTTGAAGTGTATTTATCTATTTCCTTCTGATGCAGAAGTGCATTTTTATTTCTGGGTAATTATATGACCTTTATACATAATTTCTCCCCTACTGATTTCTCTCACTAGGCTGTGATTATTTGGTGTCTGAGAGAAGGTGCATTTGCAAACTTTGAGTGTTCTATAACCATGATCTGAACTACAAGATAGGATTATAGCCTTTTATTTTGAAATTATTTTGCTTCCATTAGCCATGGGATTTCATGTAGTTTATTAGGGGTGATGTCCTCACTGAAGGATTATTATAATTCTAGTGCAATCACCCTAAATGTTCCAGAACTTAAACTACAGTTTAAGCTACACAAGGGTGATACACCTTTCCACTTTGGTACTTTGGGTTTGTGCTTAAAAAACCCAATTGCCTGTTTGTTTTAATATAAGGCTATTATTAAAAAGCACATAGTTTTTTTAATATGTATCTGTTAATGGGGGAGCAAGAGATTTCTTCTAGTTACCATTTCAGTAACTAATGCAATGTGATAGCATTGGGGCATTGGTCAATCATAAGGTAGGATGTTATGCACTTTTAAAGGAACAGTCGAATAACTAATATTGTTTTTAAAATCTTAGTGAGACCTAATATTGAGGGCTAAAAATTGTGGTGATCCGTGTCACCCGCAAAAAATAATACACACATCCAATTTGTAAGTGATGGATACTGCAGGATCTTGTAAATAAATATTTGGGTTTTATAGTTATTGTTGTGCTATAATCTTGTGAATCCGTCACAATCTCTTTATTCCCTTGAAGCTGCAGTCTTCCGAGTGGCCAGCTGGGGCCTGCAGCTTCAATCACGATCTTAGTTGGTAAAATGCGATCTCTGGGATGGAAGAGCACCAATTGCTCTGCGCTTCACAAGATTATGGTACAAAAAATATATAAAATCGAAAAATAATAAAATTATGTCACCTCGAATGAGTCATTAAACCAATGTCCCATCTGCTTATTCGGGTGGATGTTAAGGATTCCATGGTACTGTTCATAAACCAGTTGGCCGAATGGAATCTTTCTGTGCTGTTTATTCTAATATATATTTATTCTAATGTTCGAAAAGAGAAGAAAGTTTCTCCCGGTGTCCTGGCCAGCAATCTCTCAAATAAAAAATTGGTCACTCATTCCGTGGTTGTTTGTGGCACATTGCTGTGCCAAATTGGCTGCCACGTTTTGCTCACAAATACACAGTCAATCCACTTTACAGTATATTCTGTAAAGTACTTTGAGATGCCTCAACAATGTGAAAAGGCGTTATATCAAATGCAAAGATTATTATTAGGACATTTCATATTGGGAGGGCTCCTCATAAAGCTTAACAGGATTTGCTGTAATAATAATAAAATGACTGTACATTCTGTAGGTGAATATAGCATCCAATTTGCACACAGCCATGAGATTGCAAGATGTCACTCTGGGGGAGGCACTGCTATTTGGTGGGCATTCACACAAAACCTTACCATTGTGGCATTACTTATATGGCTGACAGTAGTTCTGAAAGATCACAAATTGTACTTTATTCCAAAATAATTCACAAAATTATCTAAATTGCCAGATATTACGTAATCACATTTGTATTGAGATCCAACATTTATATACATTGACAGATAAGATAAACTCTTAATTTGTTTCGTATTGTATTCAGCCCAAAAGATTGTTGCACATAGAGCTTTTCTTCTTTGTTTATTAAACTTGTAGCCTTTGTGTTTTGTTCACATAGAAACTAGAGCACAGGAGAAGCGTCGTCAGCATCAGGCCGTGCTGAGAGCAGCAGCAGCCAACAATCCCAGCAGCCAGCGTAGCAATCCTGCCCATCGCTTCATGCAGGTCACTCAGCCTGTCTCCCTCAACTACTCCAGAGACCCATCACGGGCTTCCAGTTTAGGGCCTTGCAGTCTTCCATCCTCCTTCAGCATGGCAGGTTTGTATTCAATCCAAACTCCACACTTTTCTAAGTATTTCCCGCCCTTAAAGTCCCTTCCCAAGTCAAGACTATTGAACAAGTCCTTAGGCAAACACTTGTCACCTCTGCTTCATCCCAGTCTTCCTTCCTTGAAGTTTTTGAGAGAAAGAACCAGCAGTCTGGGGTCATCAAATAAGAATAGTAGCCAGCAAGGAAGGGGAAAGCAGAATTGAGGGAGAAAGTGTGCACAACAGAATGAAAATGTATAATAATTTTACATTTGGATTGTGGGACAAATTGTGGAATCTTAGTAAAACAGTCTTCGTAAAACAGTCAATTTGTACATTTATTTCCACAAATTTGGGTACTTAGTCCCATAAATCTGTAACACACTACTACAACCAGGAAAGTGATTCTAATGGGTTATTTGTTTTACTTTCCATTTAGGGCTATTAATGATACCTTTTGCAGTAGTAGTAAAATCATAGGTGGTTACAGTGCTGTTCTTCAATATTTACAGAATTCCACTGAACACAAACATAAGAGAAAGGTAAAAACGTAACCTTAAAGAGACAATATCCTTTTAAGGGAGATAAAATAAGCTATATTGAAGCAGTGCACACATTAAAAATGTGAACATTTCAAGGAACTTTATGTCTGTGTATACATTTTGAACCAGTTTTTAATTGGTGTTTATAATAACATTTTCAAAATAATGTCGCCTAGTTTTGGATCCCGCTACCAGGGGGAAGAGCTGTGCAGATCTAACTTAACATTTCCTTTCATTATTTTAAACAATTTAAATTATTATTTAAACTATTTAAATTATTTCAACCCTGCCACTGTGCAGCAAAGTATGAATCTAGGATAGGATCGTTGAATATCCCACCCTAAGAACTTAACGGCAAGGAACACCTAACTGGAGATGACTACCTTTGGGAGGAAGAAAGAAAGGAAGAGAATAGGGAGATATTATTGAGCTATTCTTGTGCTACATTTGACTAAGAACCGCACTGGGGCTTGTTCTCCCCAGTTGGATAAAAGATGTGCATTGCCACAGTAACTAATGAAACCTCTGGAGTAGAGAAACGTTTGGGGGCAAAGGGAAGAGAGCAAATGCTCTAATTTGGTTGTCACTAAATAATACTGAAGAGCAGGATAGTCTGATCTTTATTTAAAAAATGATACTGTCTCTTTGAGAAGGTAGGCAATTAATTTGAGTTTGTTGTCACAGAATTGTGTTCTATTTCCTAACTCATACATTACGTGGTCTGTAATTGCACACATGGACTCGGAGGATATTTCCTATTTTGAAATGTTATAATTATTTCCTATTGTTTAGTATCACTGTTTCCAATTAGCCTTCATTATATGGACCTGTCACAGTACAAAGCATTGAAATCAAAAGTGAGTGCCTCTGTACCTCTCTTATCCAACTGAAAGACCTGATACTGTTACCATTCCAGATATTTAGTTCTGTAGCTCAGTGGTTAGAGCACTCGCCTCGCAATCAAAAGACCTGGGTTCTATTCCGGGCAGGGTGAAATGTTGGCTAAGTTTCTTTACTCCACACGCCTCTGCTTACCTCGCAGTAGGTAGGAACTCGGTTGTTAGTCGATTGGCGGATCGCTTTTCTGGGGATAATAATCCTTAAAAAACAATAATAATGTGGTCACTCAATCCACGACTGTTTGTAGAACACTGCTGTGCGCAATTAGCTGCCGTGTTTTGCCCATAAATATACAGTCAATTCACTTTACAGTATATTTTGTGAAGCACTTTGAGACGTCTGAAAGAAGTGAAAAGCATTGTATTATTATTATTATTATTTTCCTTTACTTTTGTATTTCACACCAGAAAGATATTAGGCAGGCAACAGACTCATCTATGGTTTGTGGTTTTGCTGCTTAGTTTATTGAGAAAAAATTAGTTGGTCCATGGGCTGGAGGATATGTTCTTTCCTGGCTAAGCCTGGCTGATGAGAACCAATTAAACTCTGCATTAATAAATAAGTTGAAGTATCAATCAGATAGCCACAGGCGTGTGCATCTGAATCCTGAATTTTCCACAAAGCTTTAGTTGTAAGAATTAATATCAGATTGTATAATATTTGGGCAAATTCTTAAATTTGTTCTTTAAACTGTTTTCTGTATTTAAAGAAATACAGAAATCTATCCCCCAAATGTTGCACATCTGAAATCTTAAATATAAAGCTTAAAAAAACGATTGAAGCACGGATTAGGAAATGCTGATATATTTAATAAACATTGCCAAAAACACAAAGGACATCTTCAGCAGTTCAGGATGCCTAATTAACCTCAGTTGTATTTATAGTTTTGAATCCATCTGTCACCAAATTGTTCTATTTTAAAATAAAATATCATCTGGTTTGAAAACTACAGTAACCAATATTGAAAGCAATGCACTTTCATTGGACCATATTGAATGTGATACTTTACTCAACTGCAGGCATTGGTATGGTGTTGCAATTTATTAGTATTCCGATTTGCAATGCCACATTGTGGTGGAATAAGGGTTTGAAACTATTGATCCCTACATTGCTGGGTTCCAGACGTAAGCTATGCTACTGTAGAGAATTGGTGAATGGAGCTCAGGAAGGAAGGAATACAGATGGTGTATAGGAGAAGGTTGCCTGCTTGCCTCTTGCATTGCCAAGAAAGTCCGTAAAGAACTGATAAGACTGAGGTTGTTTCAGATGAACTCCAGAACGAACATTGTAATATAAAGAGGATGAACGTGGAGCAATATGGATTAATATATTAATTCTCCTGTTTTGCAAGATAACAAGCTGAGATTTATTCTTTAGGATATTTTATTGTCCGGTATTTTCTTGCAAGATGCTGCATAAGGTATGTGAAGAATAGAAACCATGAAGAAGAGTTGAGTGGTATAATGTATATTCCACGCATGGCATTAGCTGTCATCTCAGGAACACATATAAGTTATCACTGCCCATTTAGGGAATATAAATAATATAGGTAGGGTATCCATAGCTCTACTATGCTATTTTATCCATTCTATTTTAAATATTTTACTTCACACTGCTACCCAACTCTAGGCTTTTGAAACATATCCCTCTTTAGGCTTTTACAGCAAAAACATACAATATTTACTTATGAGTGTTTCTGCACAAAGTCATAAAATCAATAGGAACAATCTTTTACAACGAACTGTAGTCTAATAGAATAAGTGAAATTCACTTTTTTTTAATGCTAACATTTAGCAGTCAGTTCTACAGTCCTTTGCTTATTCTCTAAGTCCACCTTACTTTATTAGAAAATAGTTAAAATTACTAGATAACCAAATGTTATTGTATTAAGTTATACAATAAATTAAGAAAAACATTCTGTTTATTTTTAATTGACAAAATGACATCAAATGGTACACATTTTTTAACCTATTAGACAGCTGTGAGCGGAGAAGAAGTGGAGAAGGAGGCCACATTCACAGAGGCAAAAGTGCAGTATAGCCATGAAGATGCTTTGTGTGTATAAACCCAATTGCTGTAGACTGCAGTTGGGACTTAAGATAGAACAAGTAGAGATATAATTGGAGCAACTTGAATTAGTTTAAAATTGTTTTTAAGCAATTTGGTGCATTGGCAGCCAACCTGACAATTGGTTGTTATTGCACTTATGCAAACTGTTATGATAGCTACAGCAAAAATGTATAAAAGATGTAAGTATGGATATGAATTACATTAGGATACCTAACATGGTAACTGTACAATTAAAAAAAACAGTGAACCAAGATTTCCTTCACTAATCCTTTCCCCAGGATAAGTATATAGAGAGAGAAGACCAGTGCATTACAAATTACATTTCCAGCAAAGAACCTTATATGTAATGCATTGTATGTGTACATAGGTTTCTACGCTCTTATAACTTTATAGGCTGAATACATTCATAATTTCTCCACCAAAACATAAATATCACTAATAGATTACTTGTTTTTGACATATTTAAATTAGTATATTTATAATACATAATATAGTTGTTGATAATCTTCAAGGAGCTTCCCATAAAGTGCTAAGATTACAGAAAGCTTACTGGATACAATGATTCTGTCAAATTATTTTTGGTGCACTATAAAAAGCAGAATAATAAAATAATTTACAATAACTAGCTTTGTATTCAAAATCCTCCTTTGCATATTTGAAATTAAAACAGTCAGTGATTCACTTTTAGTAATTTGGTTACCAAATTAGTTTTAACCTATATATTTTGCTCGTTGAGGATATATTTTGATACATCTGCCAGGAGGAAGAGATGGGAATGGAAACAGTGATCTAACCAAAAGAAAACATGAAAGGTTTATTTTGATTCATGCCAGTTGGAATGCAGTCCCATACTATTGTTTAACCTTAAGCATATTGAGTCATTGGCCAACCTTGACTAAAATTATAAATGATCAAAAATGAACCTGTGTGATATTTTCCAATATTATCTTAATGCTGCAAAAATAATTTATCAGATTTTTGCTGTTGTATAACCCTTGCTAAAAATAAATGATAATCCCAATGATTCTTGTATTCGTTCATAAGCCCCTTTGATGATTATATGGCATTTCAGTTAGATCAAAGACAATTCTTCAAAATGAAATCAGTTTCAGCTAATTTATGCACGTCTAAGATTTAGCTTGGTGAAGTGTCATTCCACTTGCTTTTTTTTTGTTTGGGAAAGCTCAGATAAAATAATTATATTTTTTCCCTATCTGAAAGAAGGCAGTGTAACCAAAACAGCTCCACCCTCCCACAGAATCAACACTTGAAACTGGGTGCATCTTTGAATACCAAACTTGAACAAATGGTGTTCAGATTTCATCAGAATTTCAAGCTGTAGCAGCTTGACATGTCATGCAGATGAGTCAATTTGCTTACTTGTCTACTTGGAAGTAAAGATCAACCTCTTCAGTTTAAAGAAAATTGATTTAAATGAAGGTTTTACACAACCACTTTAGAATCTCAACAANTTTTTTAATTGTTGTACGACATAATG